GTCGTTCTCCTTGTAAACTTATCTCGTGGGGTTGCTATTTCGTAGTCATTGGAGATGGCTATTTGCCGAGCCAAGTCGCGCGATTCTTCCTTTAGTTCCCTGGTAGTGCACACAGAGGTGGCTGTTCGAAACATGTTTCTCACAATCGCCCTCTTTGTGTGTGAAGGGTGGGAAGAAAGGAAATGAACAAGGATGTTCTTGTTACTTGGCTTTCGATACCACTTTGTCAGGTAACCGCTACTTGATAGGTTTATTTGGACGTCCAAAAACGGAAGCCAGTTTTCTCTCCGTTTCTCCCGGGTGAACTTTATGTACTCGGACTGCTCGTTCAATAATTCAAAGCATTTGTCCATCTCCTCCTGCGTAGAGAAGACGACAAAACAATAATCTACATATCTGCAGTAAAGTAGTGGCCGGAGATCGAGAACAGGCGCTTCTATCTTAGACATAAACACAATGGCCAGGCTTGGTGCTAATCGCTGTCCCATTGCCAACCCCCTTATTTGTGCGAAATATTTCCCAGACCATCTGAAAATCGAGCAGTTTAGGCACTCCTTTAAGAGAGCCATTAGCTGCTGGATAGACAAGCCATGCTGTTTAAAAACCTCGCGATTGCTGAACAAGGAAATAATTAAATTTGTGAAACGGGTAGAACACTATGCGTTCGTATAGAAAATCAAGTACGTAACATAAACCAAACATTCCAATAGGCGTACACAAGACACAGATATAACGGAGAAAATTTTGAAGTGGAAGTTACCCTCCTCACATAGGAGTCGAAAACTTCAGCGCAAAAATGACGCGAAGCATTCCGGATAAATTCCAAGAATCCACAAATGACCCGCAGGATGGAATGCTTCGTTATCACACCTGATTTCATACAGTATTTAAGACTGATATTTTAAGATTAGAGAGACATATTACCCACGCATGTGAACCTTATGCGGCTCGTCACCACATGAAATATTTAGTGGAAGACTCACAGAAAGCAGTGAGTCTGTGAAGAAGCTATTTTCTTTCCAGTGCGATTGGAAACTATGTAGCATGACTTTCCTATCAAGTTATGGAGGTATTTGGCTGACTGGATGGCTGTCAACTTGACCCCTCTAGGCTCTAAACAAGCCAAAATCCGCGGAAACGTTAGCTTTTGTGAGTAAACAGGGTAATAACGATCCTTTGTGCGCTTGTCAGCAAAGCAGTGAATTTCTGCTAGTTTTGCACCAATTTTAGAGAAAAAACTACTGAGAAAGAAAGAATCAAAACCTTATTAAACCATTACTGTAAGAGGGCATTTATCGAGAAAACTGAACAAAAACATTTTTTGTATTGCTAAGCTGGTACGAAGTAAGCGCTTTATTCGACTAACGTTTCGGCGCCTTCGCGTTTCCCAGAACCGGGACGATGCGTTCGGAGCGTTGGCCGAATAGAGTCTTTATAACAACGAAGATTTTGAAAATAATTTTTGTTGCAAAAGTCTTCATATGCACCGAAAAAATGGAAAGAAATAAAACGTACAACCGTGACGATTACCATACACAAGTGATTATGCTGAAATATTTGGGTGAGACGTTTTTTAAGGCAACGCCACACCTTGTTAGATCATTTTTAACAGTTGAATATCTCCTTTTTACCAAAGATATTATAATGAAACTGGCCAATGATGTGGGTTCCAGATGCAACTACGGATGACAATACTACGGCAGATGTAGAGAAACGCATGGGTTACAGAAATGTTCTGTTCTCGTCACGTATCGTCCCCCGTAGCTTCTACAAAAGCAGTAGCAGTATTTACACAACTTCAGAGTAGACAAAGAACTCAAGAGTGTCGAAAAAAAACGAACAGCAGAACCGTCACTACTAAATGCAACCACCATTTCAACACCGAGAGTTCAGGAAACATCGTGGTTGTGATCGAATATAGAACACTGTGATTCGGCTTAGTCTTACATAAACACAAGCGTCGGCCCATTGTTCAGTTATTCTAATCATACTCTACTCAACTCGACGACCGTGTACGACGTCTCGATATGGCCTCGTCCGTCTCTCCTGCTACAACAGCGTTTTCTCCTCAAATCTCCTTCATTTCCCTGCTGCTATTTCACTCTCCACTATACTTCTCAAGCACATTGTTTTTGTCATCCGCTTCTATTCTAATAAAATATTTAACAGATTCGTCGCAGTGAAGCCGGTTTTCCGATAGCACGGGACAATTTCTCCGTTATCGGAAAAGCGATGCAATTGAGAAGTTTATATAGCTATAGAATCGATTATAATTATAAAACATCCTTTCAACTCCATGTTCGTTTAGAATTAAAACTTTCAAAAGCGTGAGAACGAAATTCAACCTTGTACTATTTCTCCAACAGGCTTTGCAGCCGCATAAGCCAACCAAAGATACACTGCTGAACACTGTCGTGTCCAGATGGACGAAATATAGCTTCTTCTACTGACTTGAAATACGAGTATCGATTTAAAAAAAGTGAAGACAAAAGTTTCGTACGCCGAGAACTGGTACCTTGTTGGTAAAGATTTACAGATTCAAGCTGAGCTGAAATATGCTCGCTTAAAGTTGAAGTGGCCATTATTTTCGCATTATTGGCACTGAGGGCAATCCATGTCTTGAAAGTGTGAGTTAAAGCCAATTTGAAGTACGTTGCTCCGTTTTTCACAAGATTACTTTCGGATATCAGAGAATTTCTAAGGAACGAAATTCGAAGCTCAAGATACTGCTAAGGTCGTGCACACCAGAACCAAGCTTTCAGCTCCACAGAAGACAACGCTTAATCTCCACTGAGATATTACGACGTTACGATTACCAATCGTTACTTCTTTAGTGAGTTAAAACGAAAGATGGGAGAAAGTGAAAAGCGATACGCAACTATAATATTGTAAGATTCTTTAGATTGAGAAGTCTACGATGAGATACTTTCGTAGATCCCTTACATTTTACACAACAATAGAATGGCAACATCTATTGGTGGCGGTTGCAATTACTAACCGACTCTAATAAATTCTCATAGTTCTCATAGTGGCAGCGAAATGAGGTTTCACGTAAGTGAATGAAAGAACTTGAAAAGCTAATTGAATAAATGAGGAAGGAAGCGAAAATATTTAGGAAAACAGACAATAATATGACGTACTGGAAAACTATATATATATATATATATATATAATATATATATATATATGCACATACACATATACACACACCACACACTCATGAACATACACATAAGTAAACTTAAACGTAATAAAATATAGGAAAACGCTCTGGTGAAAAATAATAGAGAAAAAACAAAAGCAAACAATATGCATCGTTAATGAAGCTCAACTGGCTTAAACAAATAAAGCCCCACTGCAGGTAAGACGATAAACGAGCAGAAAGGATTAAAAAGTGCGAATCGAGAGTCCTCTCCAAGAAAACAGATAAATAAAATCAGAAATTCTTAAACTATACTACTTTGCTGGCAAGTTGTTCATAAACTAAAACATAGTTTTCCAAATCTAAATCGTATCGAGGCCACGAATTTTTGCCATGAACTGCAGGGACAAGTGCTTTGAGAAAAACAAAGCTCTGTGAGTTCGGAGCAAAAATAACCGCCTCTTTCTTAAAACTTCCTTTAATTTATTGTTACCAACCAATATATATTCAACAAAGATCGACAGCACTTGACAGCGAAAAAAGACCGCCCAAGATTCTACTGATAACTTTTAAACATGTCCGTTACCTATAGAAGACTTTCGAAGTTGTCAACTACAAAGAAACACAAAACACGATCGTAACAAATAATTTCATCAGCGCAACTCATATCCATAGAAGAGAACTTGAAAACTATCGTATTCTCGATGAGGTAGTAAATTAAATGTATGCATCCTCCTTTCAGGGCTAATTTTTCACGTTGTATTTCTCTGATTTATTCCCTAACTCACGTAAAGCAAAATATACAGAGCCCGCTTCTGGAATATAAGTTGCCTGGTTCCGAAAGCATTTAAACAGAAAGCACAAAGGAGTCAGAAATTGCGCGGTTACTACTAGATAAAGATTTCGGGTAAAATATGAAGCATTTCAGAGTTTCAATAAAAAAAATCTCACGTAAAATAACTGCTTGAGAAAAATTATACAGCTGCTAACGGTGATACATAATTAGATCGTTTTCTATGTCAATTCGGTTCCATTAAGTCATAATCGGAAATGCGGAATCACCTGCAACGCCAATATCACTCGCAATCCTATGAGTTGTCAAGTAACTTAAGTGGACGTAATAAAGTCTTGATTGACCTTTTGTCAACTGGATGAATGCCCGAAACTGCTCAATGGATCCTGCTAGCTCGTCGAACACGGCGAGAATCAGACATTGGTGTGGGAAACATTTAGACCAAGTGTTGTCGTTGGTGGCGATGTTACTACTTGGGGTAGCTTGCTGGGTTTTGCCACAGCCAGAAAGCTTTCCTGGGGTTTGATGATCAAAGCATATCTATTGGTAAGTCCAACGACTGAGTTAAATTCGGCAGAAAATACACACTTTCAAGCAACGCTATTTCTGTTATGCAAAAAATGCCTAGATTTATGGGGCGTTTGTTATGTGTTCCTCTGCTTGTTACAGACTACCCTAGGCATGTTCAGTGTCTTCGCCAACGCGAAAAAAAAACTTCCCAGAAGTCCTTGTGAGCATGAAATAGGATTATTCTGAAGAAATAAAAAATGAAGAACGAAGAGTAAAGTGACGGCAACCCAACTAGAAAAAAGAACAGAAGAAAACAAAGGTGGAGATTCAGATAGAAATTTTAAAAAAAGGTAAGCAATAAAGTGCCGTCGAATGTTTCAATGGCTCTTCAACTATCCTGACAAATACATCGAATGAAAAACTGAAGATGAACACAACGTCAGAAAGGAAACTTTTCGACAACGAATAAATCTGAAATCCAGAAGAATGTGAGAAAATATAATATTAAAGAACTACTTTTTAACCATCAACTTTCCGATAGTTAAATTAAATGTACTAATGTAGGCAATATTTGGAAAGAAACGAGTAAAAAACAAATGCGCAGCAGAACTCACCATACGGCAACTCGAAGCGGGCGTCTACAAGAACGTTATGACCAGTAGGCTTACTGGTACCGACAGTTTGTCCGTTGCGTGTCTCCAATTCTTGATCAATCTGTAGCCATTTTCCATCTCCTGGTGTCGCACTAAACTCATAGATTTGAAAAATCACGACCTCTGTCAACAACGCAACCACTGTTGGGTATAACTCTGCATAAAGTCATAGGCTGCTCATCTAGTTAGAAGAGCATAAATGGTTAAATATTGTTTTAATATGCTACTAGGACAACACGAAAGTCAGTGGTTGGAGGCACTATGCAACGAACGTGTGGTCTTTGGTTCAATCCCACACAATGAGCAAACCAAACCCACCAGTCAAGGCGGACAAAAACACTGATTTGATACATTGGCAGGCACTTACATGTCACTGTGTATGCGAAATATGTGGAATGGTTAATGATGGAGTCCGTTAGAGATCACACCTTTGGTTGGCACCTCACAACATTCTGCTCCAATTTACGACGGAACGCCTTTGTTCGATTATCTCCAAGATTGGAAGGAGAGTAGAGTCGATCAGCATTCTACGGCATTCATAAAGAAGACGAAATCCTCAAATAGCAGCAGTAACGCGAAATGCTGGAAGATCCCTGTGAACAATACGAGGAAAATGAATCGAACGCAAGAAGTGCCGGGATCCACACAGTAGACGTAATAACGAGTAATGAAAATAATCTAAAAATACTAACTTTTCAGGTACTTTTTAAATGCTTCAAATGGAAAACATTTTAATGGATTTCGCTAAACCGACTGTCGCTTAACCTCGACGTGAACAATGCTGAAGAACGTCGATCGAGAAGACTCTGATGAAGACGAAGATGTTGAAACTTTAACCGAAATAGATCTTTTTATCAAACTCGTGTCAACTCAACAATTTAAATGCATGTTGATTATTTTGCAACCGAGGTTAAATGACGGTCGGTTTGAAAACTGTTTTGCTATACGCTTTGTGCAAGCTAACATAACACCGACTGCTGCAAGGTGGATTATCCGCTGAAAAACAAACCATTACCAATGGATATCATATCAACAACAACCGCCTTGTATAAAAGGACACTGCCGAGTGTGCACGCTCATTCGTGCGGTGTTCACCGAGGAAGATCCCGTCTCGGTACGACAACGAAGACGTCACATCGAGATAACGAGCAATTGTGGACCACCGACAAGGGTCGTCGGCTCTGATGAAGACGAAGACGTCGAAACGTTAGCCGAAATAGATCTACTTACCAACCTCGTGTAAGCTCAACAACGTAAATACACACTTCTGATACTTGGTTTACGATAGCCCTACACAGATACTATATGAACCATAAAATCACCTTTGAACACGCGGCTACCAGCAATACATTTATCAGCTGAATGAAACTCGTGAAACCCAAATCGCATAAAGTAAGAAACTATTCACGTTATAAAACTTTAAGTAAGGTTTCACTGTACTAAACCAATCCATATTATTTTCCTTAAATTGAAAACAATTCAAAAGAGTGAAAAAAACGAAAATATTACTTTCTTTGAAATTAATAACTACGCAGAGAAAATTACAGATTAGCTCCCACGATTTCAAACGCTTCCGTTCATTATGAATATGTCAACAGTTACCGTTAATTACCGTTGTTTCGCCAGATATAACGGGTTTGCTGAAATAACATAAATTCTTGTCATTCAGAAGATGGGAAAATGTAACGATTGGCCATGATGTCTTGTGAACAACTGCTAAGTTTGTGAAGATCACTATATATTAGCTCATCTTTGAGCAATTTATGTTTTGATTTCTACGCTAGGAACTTGTTTCAGCTAAAACCCGAGGAAAAACACGTGAGTCTATTAAACTATAAAGCCAAATGAAAAAATCATTTAGTTTATAGCCTAATCGTAACAATTCTCCCTCCGATAAGGAATGGCCGACGATTACCCGTGGTGCCGACTTGGGAAAGCCGTAATGCGACTATTTTGAGAATCTAGGGAAAGAAAATTATGTTCAACAGGTGAACTACTAGTTAAGTGGAGATTGTGTTGAGGGCCGCATGATTCATAGTGAGGGAGAACCACTGTATTATTTATGTAGGTGGTCAGTGTCAGTACTAATTCGGTGAGTCATCGTTTGACTTTCAGTATTGTCTACGTTTATAGCTTAATACAAATCATGATGCTTTCTCGACACAACATGATGAATACTATTCTATGAATGCCGTAACTGATGTCTACTTCATCGGATGCTAAACACTCAGAGCAACCAGATTTTCCTTTTAGTTTGATGATGGATAATCCAGTAAAAAAGCTTTGTCATTTCCTTCTTTTGTTTTCCTACCTACTTGTTCTCGTAACATACCAGTAGCGGACATCTGTAAGTGGCATGAAGTGCACACCGAGAAGGCGATCCCACAGCACACCTTTTGACCATAGCTCTATGGTCATGCCTTCGTCGAGACGATTCGTTTCGCTGAATTCTTTAAATTCATACGACGTCGTTCAAAACAATAAAGTGGAGCAATAGTAGAAATTCAGAAATAAAATGCAAAACAAAACGATCCTTATTATCAAGACCTCCATCAGGTTTTATTTACTGCCTACTCGTTTTGATGGCAGGGTATATTGCGAAATATAACTTCAATGATGCCGAGATATTTGCAAAACTCCGGACAGCAGGTGTATGCGGTGGGGAACGAACGCGCTATTGTCCTTTCCGGGGAGTAACGCGTAAAAAGAGTAGGCAGTAAATAAAACGGTTAAGATTGTTATTATAACTAAAGCCTCAGCTTAACCGGGTTCATTGCCGATTTGAACTGCCCAGATCAATCCCGCTGACGGGTGATTGCTTATGGCCGAAATCGATAGAACTAGCTGAGAGAAAGGCGAAACGAAGGACCCGCATGGTGTGGTGGTGACTCTTCTTCCCCGGAAAGGACAATAGTGCGTTTGTTCCCCACCATAGACACCTGCGGTCCGGAGTTTTGCAAATATCTCAGCATCATTGAAGTTATATCCACCAGGATCGAAAACTTTTACTAAGGAATGGTTCAATTTTACTGATTTTTAGAGCTTTTAAGGACTACACAGTGGCTTTTTTTCCTTCCAAATATTTCTCAAATTAGTAATGAAGTAGATTTCAACGACACATAAAGCTCATTAACACGAAAGGCTTCGAAGAAACAGGAACACCTTACATGATTAACCTGCAGACGGAATGCGGTGGAAAAAAAGATTTTGTCTCATTTCTTATGCGATTTAGATAAACACAAAGAATACTGCGCAATGTCTTATCCCTGACTTACGCATACGTTCTCTTTCCCAACAGCTTTACGACAAAGAGTTTGCTACACGAAGTTGAGCCGACCGTAAAGAAAACGATTGACCCATGTATGAGTGCACGGCCGGGATAGAGAAACCCGCATAGACTTCCCAAAAGGCAACAAATTGCCAAAATTAAAGAAAGACCTGGAGGGAGTCAACAATTTGAACAAACAACAACGCAGTTGCTCAATGTTGGTATTCAGAGATTCCATTCAGGTCGCTGTTGTTCTTAGCTAGATCTTTACCAGCCAGCCTTTTTATGTGCCCCTTCGATCACAGGTAGAAAATTTCTCAATTTGAGCCCGTGGAAGAGACAAATAAGGCTCTTTAAAACGATGAAACTCTCGTTTGAGAACTTAAACTAACCATACATAGTACCACCTCTAAATTTAAAGAAATGACTTGGTAACCTTTCATCGAATTCATAGTTTTCAATATACCTTTCGCATATTCCGATATGAAACGCTGCCACCAAATATTTTTCTCAGTTTCTGCAACTCGAATCATTTTAACAATGAACAGGAACAAAAGACCAAAAGCCGTATAATAAAGCTTTAGACTTAGTGACAATCCATCTTTCATAACAATCTTAATAACGTTATACCTTTTTATTTTCTGCCTACTATGATTTCGCGGCAGGGTACTAAGCGAAATACAACCACAACGTTGCTGAGATATTTGCAAAACTCTGGACCGTAGGTGTCTAAGGTGGGTGATTGCTGTGGCAAAGATCGATAGAAATAGCTGAGAGACAGGCTTAAAAAATGACCTGCATGGTGTGGTGGTGAACGCGTTACTCCCCGGAAAAGACAATAGCGCGTTCGTTCCCCACCATAGACACCTGCGGTCCAGAGTTTTGCAAATATCTCAGCAACGTTGTGGTTGAATCTTAATAACGTCCTAAGCCCGACTTTCCTTTAACCTCGGTGTTGATCAATAATTTACTGTCTTTCTTGATGAGTAAACATATGATTGTTACTAAAGCGTTTATTTATACACAACAGCCGATGTTTTCGGAGTTTCGCCTTCCTCAGAATCAGGAAGAGTCAAACTGAGGCGCAATCCACTCAGACAAACACTATCATAACCTCAGCAGACAAACTTGCCACTTTGCCACATTCCGTGTTCAGTCGCTTTTGTCACCACGGCAGATTTAAAACCACTAGTTATCCTGCAACTTAAAATTGAATCATCAACATGGCCGGTATTATACTTATTCGAGAAAACTCACTAATAGCCATTTACGACCTTGCGTCTAACGGTCGCCCAACGTTCATGGTTAGACCCATAATCAGCTGCGTAGACGGAGCCACGGATAGAATAGCTTACTGCGTAAACCTAACACTCATACAATTGCTGAAACACATGCCACCCATCTCACGAATACCCAAATGTTCCTGGATTGAATTGTTTACGTAACACGCGCCCCAACAGCGCGTACGTGATAGGGCCCTGCAACCTTATCGCCCTTTATACGACAGCAAGCTCCTTATATAATATGAAGGAACAATAAATATGTATGGCTAGTCGATTTAGCAGCTCACAGCCTTTCTAAAGGAGTGCCTAAATTACTCAATATTCGGACGGAATGGAAAATATTATGCACAAATTACACTAAGCCTTGCAGCTTCGTTCATATCTAAAGTTGGAGCACGACACTTGGTCTCCGGCCACTACTCTACTGTGAGTATTTCGACGACTATTTTGTCATCTGTTTAACACAGAAGGCGATGGATAAATGTTTTGAATTGCTAAACAAACAGTCAGAGTACAAAAATTTCACCCCAGAAAAAAAGAAGAAAGAATGGCTTCCGTCTTTAAACGTTAAAATCAACCTCTTCAAAAACCGTTAAACCACTAAATGGTACCGAAAGCCAAGTAACAAAAACATACTACTTCATCACGTATCCCCTCACCCTTCAGATACTAAAAGGGCACTTGTGAGAAGCATGTTATGTACGGTTGCCAGTGGGTGAACAGGAATAGAGCAGAAGGAAGAATCTCTAGACCTGCTACGAAAAAATATCATTTCCAGCGGCTACGAAACGGCAGCTATTCGGGATAACTTTAGAAGAAGAAACATGCCCCAAAACGTAAGTCTAGCGAAAATAGGGTCCCCATTCATCCTGTCCTCTATTTCGAACGAAGTAAGCACAGCTATAGAAGGTTGCTTAAGAAAGTCCGACTTAGATAACTCGGTAGCAGTGACTAAAATACCACCGAACATTCTAAGGAGTCAGCTAGCTCGTAACCGTTGTACGACCGTCTATGTGAAAAACGCAATTGTGTAATTTGCCCTAACTAGAGAGACCTTGATTGTATGAGTTCGGGTACGGCGTTCATCATCTCTTGTAAAGCATGTGGGGACAAATACGTTGGCGAAACGGGTAGACCACTCAAAGTCCGTATAAAGGAGCACCTAGACATCGAGCGTAACGTTGAAAAAACACTCCACTGAGCACGCATATCCCAGACACAGATACAGACACAGACACGGACAGATAACATAGACACAACGCAGACAAGTACCACAGATATAACGGAGAAGATTTTGAAGCGAAAGTCACTACCCTCGCACAAGATCCAAAAATAGCAGCTATAAAACTATAGAAGCATCTTGAATTAATTTCAAAAGCCCAAAAATGGACCGCAAGGAGGAGGGCCTTGTGATCATGCGTGACCTAGTGCCATACCTCAAGCTTACTTTTTGACCTGATCCAGGCACATTCTTCGTCAATGTAGGACTCTGTGCAGCTGGTCTCCGTCAAATACCTTGGAGGCTTATAAAGGACAAAACAGTGTTTAGTTGAGAAAAAGGCGGAACGAAGAACCCGTATGGTGTGGTAGTGAACGCGTTAGCCCTCGGAAAGTGTAATAGCGCGTTCGTTCCCCACCGTAGACACCTGCGGTCCGAAGCTTTGCAAATATCTCAGCATCATTGTGGTTGTATCACACATAATACCATACCATGAAAAATTGTAATAGGCAGCAAATAAAAGAGTACTGTAAAACGGTGAGTGTTTGAAAGAAACTGCTTATTACGCGAATGAAATTTACGTATCAAGTTTTGTCTGCCGAGGTTATGAACGTGTTTGGCTGCGTGTGAATTTGGCTCTTCAAGGCTCTAAAGGTGAAACCGCAGTCAGCTATTGCGTATTAGTAATTTCTCGACACTTCTGATACGTTAACGGTCCGTCCTCACTGGTTGTGCGGGACCCAGCATAAATACCATTTACCGGAGATTTGCTGGTTAAGTCACTGTGGTTTCCTGGAATCCCGAAGTCAGCCTGGCCAAAGTCTGCTCCAGGTCTTGACCACCACAGGCAGTCGCAGCCCTTCTGGATCAGAGGGAGATTTGCCACCATGCGACCTTGATACCAGGACGGTGGTGGGCCCTGGTATTGGTTCACTCTTAGCTAGGCTTCCAGATGGAAATGCTGGACTCCTTCTCAGCTTGGGGAGAGCCTGCCGGGAAAACGAATCCCCCCGCTGTACATCGCAGTCCGACACCCAGGAACACCTCCCAGCCACGATGAAGCGGTAAATCGTTGGGACGGTATTAGTAATTTCTGTAATAACAACATCGCATTTACCCATAAAGGAAAACAGTGAGTTTTAGTGGCGGTTCATCAGAATCATTTATTGATTTTATTAATATTCACAGGAAAATCGTATCGATTTTCAGGTCATGGGAGATTGTACAAAAATAATGTGTACGTAACGATTGTCTCTGTATAACCCTAATCACTTCTACACACTACTTTTTTCTTACAACCATAATAAAGTTTAAATCTACTCAAAAGAAAAAAAATCTCAACATAAAAATATGGTCCGGAAAAGTAGAAAAATGATCATTCTTTTAAATCTTACAAAATAAACTCTTGTTCCCAACATGGAATATTGCCTCGTACGACTGCCGTCGTAGACTTGACATTCTGTAGCTTCACCGTGACATATGTGTTGAATTCATCTAAAGCGTCATAGATTTCGTAAATTCTCAACATTTTGTCCCAATAAACCTAAGGAAACCCATCTTTTAGTTTCCAGCATATTCAAACGATCGACTTCTTAGAGTGATCAGCATTTTTCAACGAAATTTTTATAAAAACGATTACAGTGATACGTTGCTCTAATAAAAGTACACGGAAAACTTCTTCGATTTGACCTGTCGCTAAGCACAACTTGAATGACTGAGAAAATCTAACAGTCCACTACTCACTCGAAAGGCCGACTTTCTACAAACCTCGGCATAGATGATATATTTATTTATGTGATCTTATAAACTTATCTTAAGCTGACGCGAGGTTGGTACAGGTCTTCGTTGTCGTTGTCGTTGTTTTTGATGTTGCTGGTCGATGGCTGACGTTTCGGCGACTTCGCCTTCCTCAGAGCCGTGATGTTACGTGCGGGATTCTGAAGACCTGTACCAACCTCGCGTCAGCTTAAGAAGATCAGTTTATAAGATCACATAGGTCCACTACACAGCATCGGAAGCTCGCTAAAGACTAGAAATCGATGGACAGTCGTAACGATCAAAACGAAACAAAAACAACTGGAGGGTAGTTTGTAACACAAACGTATTTTGAAATAAGAATATTGTAGAATACAGTATTATTATAGAATGAAGAATGTAAGTCCAATATTGTAGATTACAATGGAAGTAAATATGAATGAACTGGATCTGTAGAATGTTATCTACAAAGGGGATTCATCAATAGAAGACAGTCAGAATGTAAAACTTTCTCTTCAGCGTGTATAAAAAAATTAACGACGAGGCAATCAACTGGGGATAATTTCTCAATAACCACAGCATTTAAAAACTTAAGGACTTAAGGACTAAAACTTAAGGACTACATAGAGCTGTAGAAAATTCAATTTCTTCATCTGGTCTGGGTCGAGGCGATTGTCAAGCTACTCAGAAGTACGTTATCCCCTTATGCCACAGCTTGGTATTCAGATTTCGAAAGGGTATCAGAACAATAGACTGTACCAACATAATAAAACTATAGAATTATCAAAACTGAAAATTTTTTCAAAACTGAAAGAAAAGCTAGTGTTAGCTATTCTAATACCGGGTGCTGCAGGATGGACTGTCCGTTGAAAAACAAGTTATTATTAGCGGGAAAGCATTATAAACAACCGTTCTGTGTACGACAGCATTGCCAGGTGAGGTTGCCTCAATAGAACAGTGCTTCATTGTACTTGTATTGTAGGAAATTGGACTCGATACGACGATGAAGACACCATATCGAGATGACGAACGACTGTCGGCCATCAACCCTGGTTCTGAGGAAGACGAAAACTTCATGTAGCAATTCCCAAGACCGACTTTCTGTTAACCTCGGCATTAATTGATAATTCAATGTTTTTCTTCAATAAGCAGACATGAGGTTGTTAATATAGAATTTATTAAAAGACAATAGCTGACGTTTCGGCGGTTTCGCCTTCTTCAGAGCCTGGAAAGGTCAACTTAAGATGTGATCTACTCAGCCAAACACTTTCAACCCCAGCAGATAAAACTTGATAAATCGATTTGCATTCGCATAAGAAACAGCTTCATTCAAACACCTACCGTTTATTTGTTGTAAGCATTGAAGTTAGTTGATGGATAGCCGCCGCACAGAGTAATACATGGGCGATAACTGTCCTGTCAGGTCATAGGATTAGCCTGAGGTATGGCGCCAGGTGACGCGTGATGACAAGGCACTCCTCCTTGCGGTTCATTTTTGAATTTTTGGCATTGATCCAAAACGCTTCAAGAGTTTTAAGCGCTGATGTTTTCGATTCTTGCGTAAGGATAGTGACTCCTACCTCAAAACCTTCTCCGTTGTGTTCCTGCATCCTATGTGCGCCTAGTGGAGTATTTTGTTTTAATTTAGATTTACCGACTAGGTGTTCTTTTATGCGGACGCAGAGCGGTCTACCCGTTTCGCCAACATATTCGTGCCCGCACGTTTTACAAGAGATCAGATAGACTGTACCCGAACTCATGCAATCACCGTCTCTACCATTTGGGCAAATTATGCAGTTTTTTGTTGTACATAGACGGTCGTATAGACGGTTGCGAACTAGCTGGCGTCTTAGAGTGTCCGGTAATGAACCACTATATTCTTATTGCTTGGCTTTCGATACCATTTTGTGTTGTAGCCGTTCTCGGATAGGTTAATTTGAAGGTTTAGAAATGAAAGCCAGTTTTCTTTTGTATTCTTTCTTGATAAGCTTGCACGAGGTTGATAAATATATTTATTTTCGGCTAACGTTTCGACGTCTTCGTCTTCCTCAGAGCCGGTGATCCGAGTCGATGGTCCATGCTTGTTGTTCGCCTCGACGTTGCGTCTTCGCCTTCCTGTCGAGCCAGATCTTCCTCAGCGAGCCATCTTCTCGAAAAAAAAGTTTTCTTTTGGTTTCTCACGGGTGAATTTCATGTACTCTGACTGTTCATTCAATAACNCTTTCGATACCATTTTGTGTTGTAGCCGTTCTCGGATAGGTTAATTTGAAGGTTTAGAAATGAAAGCCAGTTTTCTTTTGTATTCTTTCTTGATAAGCTTGCACGAGGTTGATAAATATATTTATTTTCGGCTAACGTTTCGACGTCTTCGTCTTCCTCAGAGCCGGTGATCCGAGTCGATGGTCCATGCTTGTTGTTCGCCTCGACGTTGCGTCTTCGCCTTCCTGTCGAGCCAGATCTTCCTCAGCGAGCCATCTTCTCGAAAAAAAAGTTTTCTTTTGGTTTCTCACGGGTGAATTTCATGTACTCTGACTGTTCATTCAATAACATAAATAACAGAAAAACATCTTGAAGACTCATCTCTTTATCGCGCATCTACTGAAAAGGAATTCAGAAGTCAAAATCGAAAACTGAACAGCGAATGGGTCAAAACGGCAAGAGCAGCAGATTTAAAACCAGCAGACATTTCGCATCTTAAGATCGAAGTGCCGACATGTCCCGTCCTATACTTACTTATCAAGACCCATAAGTTAATACGCGCTGATGATCTGGCGTCTACCGACCCTTCCACCTTTAAAGTTAGAGCTATCATCAGTTGTGTAGACGGCCCTACGGATAGAATTGCTTGGTTTATAAATCTTATCCTCAACCAGTTGCTTAAGCACAAACCAACCCATCTCACGAACACCCAAATGTTCCTAGACCGTCTGCGTAACGCACGTCCCAAAAGCGCGTACGTTATGGAGTCGTTCGACGTTACCGCCCTTTACACTAAAGTGTCGAACGACTCCGCAATGCAAGCCAACCGCAAGCTCCTTGAGGAACACGAAGGAGCAATTAACATGTATGGCTTTTCGATTCAGAAGCTTATGGTCCTCTTGAAAGTCTGTTTAAACTGCTCGATCTTCGGATGGTTCAGGAAATATTACGCGCAAATTAGAGGGCTGGCAATGGGACAGCGACTGGCACCAAACCTTGCCGTTGCCTTTATGTCTAAAGTGGAAGCACCAGTAATCGATCTCACGCCATTACTTTACTGTAGGTATATAGATGATTGTTTTGTCATCTGCTCCACACAAGAGGAGATGGACAAATGCTTTAAGTTATTGAATGAACAGTTAGAGTACATAAAATTCACCTGTGAGAAACCGAAAGAAAACTGGCTACCATTTCTAAACCTTCAAATTAACCTATCCGAGAACGGCTACAACACAAAATGGTATCGAAAGCCAAGCAGTAAGAATATAGTGGTTCATTACCGGACACTCTAAGACGCCAGCTAGTTCGCAACCGTCTATACGACCGTCTATGTACAACAAAAAACTGCATAATTTGCCCAAATGGTAGAGACGGTTATTGCATGAGTTCGGGTACAATCTATCTGATCTCTTGTAAAGTGTGCGGGCACGAATATGTTGGCCGAAACGGGTAAACCGCTCTGCGTCCGCATAAAAGAACACCTAGTGGGTAAATCTAAATTAAAACAAAATACTCCACTAGGCGCACATAGGATGCAGGAACACAACGGAGAAGGTTTTGAGGTAGGAGTCACTATCCTTACGCAAGAATCGAAAACATCAGCGCGTAAAACTCTTGAAGCGTTTTGGATCAGTGCCAAAAATTCAAAAATGAACCGCAAGGAGGAGTGCCTTGTCATCACGCGTGACCTGGCGCCATACCTCAGGCTAATCCAATGACCTGACAGCACAGTTATCGCCCATGTATTACTCTGTGCGGCGGCTATCCATCAACTAACTTCAATACTTACAACAAATAAACGGTAGGTGTTTGAATGAAGCTGTTTCTTATGCGAATGCAAATCGATTTGTCAAGTTTTATCTGCTGGGGTTGAAAGTGTTTGGCTGAGTAGATCACATCTCAAGTTGACCTTTCCAGGCTCTGAAGAAGGCGAAACCGCCGAAACGTCAGCTATTGTCTTTTAATAAATTCTATATTAACAACCTCGTGTCTGCTTATTGAAGAAAAACATTGAAGACAAAAACGTCGATGTCCGAATAAAAGTCCAAAAAATTTGCTGAAAGAGAAGGGTTTTTTATTTATATTGTTCAGCTTACACGAGGTTGACACGAGATGTTTATTAGACTAACGTCTCGACGTCTTCGTCTTCACGAGAGCCGACAATTCTTGTCGATGGTCCACAGCTTTTCCTCTCCTCGACGTGGCGTCTTCGCCTCGCATCGAAGGGCTTTTATTTTATTTCAACACCTTTTATAAAGCCTTCATTTTACACTAAATTTTAGATCGAAAAATTCTAGAGTCATATGCTACAATTTTCCAAAATATAGCGTGGAAACTGGGGTAGAATAACATGGGAATAAAATTCGATGGAAGGCAATTATACTATGTTCGCTCTGAGGTGATGACGGTACTAATGTCAAACATTTACCGGGTGGAACGAATGCTGAACGACTACGACAGCACTTGTTGAAAAACTGAGTTTTGATTGAATCTCAGAAAAGCTATATTCAGAAAAAACAGGTTCGTTTCTAATTAAAACTACGGTTTCCCTGTTAACCATCAACGAAATGAATG